CAGCTGATAAACCTACGAGTCAATCATGCTGTCATATCTCACGAGTCAAGGAATGTCACTACTAACTGGCTGACAGACAACACGAGCTGACAGTTCGAATCACTGGAGGACAGATACTAACCATGCTGACAGAACACAAACAAACAAATGCAAAATAAAACCAAACAAAAACAAACTGACTCAAAATAAAAGCAGACAAGCCGACGCATGATTAAACAAAAAACAAAAAATGACGCAAAATAAAAACAAAAACAAACTGACGCAAAACAAAAACAAAATGACGCAAAATAAAAACAAAATGACGCAAAATAAAACCCAAAACAAACAGACTGAGGCAAAAACAAATAAACAAAGAAAACAACTCAGATATACTTCAACAAATAAACAATAGTCTTTATGTTATATACTGTCTCTTATTATTATTCTTTCTCACTTTATTAATCTTTTGTAGTTCCTCCTCCTCTCTCTCCATCCTCATCCACCTATCTCTCCTCCCTCCCTCCTTCCCTCTTCTTAATCCTTCTCCTCCCTCCCTCTCTCTCTCCCTCCCTCCCTCTCTCTCTCTCTCTCTCTCTCTCTCTCTCTCTCTCTCCCTTCCTCCATCAGATGTTTTTAAGCCAAGAATCCACGAAACAAAGCCAATTATAAGCCCTGATTTAGTTACACAGGGACGAGCTTGTTTATATACCTGACAAAGCCACTCTTAAGATCAACGCCCTTCATCTGATGTCGTGTCTGGTTGGGTTAGGTTAGGTTACGTTACGTTACGTTAGATGAGAGTAAAGTATTTTTTTTGCCATTAATCATTATTTTTGTTAATATAATTCGTAAAAACTTTTGGGTATTTTGTTGATAATTTGTTTAGTTTTTGTCGATGTTTTAGTGAAGTTTAAATTTTGTTTATTTTATTTATTTATTATGGGGCTATTTTTTTGTGTACGCATGATTCGGTGATTATGTATGATTTGGTAATATCCATGTTTGATTCGGTAATATCCATGTATGATTCGGTGATGTCAATGTATGATTCGGTAATATCCATGTATGATTCGGTAATATCCATGTATGATTCGGTGATGTCTATGTATGATTCGGTAATATCCATGTATGATTCGGTAATATCCATGTATGATTCGGTAATATCCATGTATGATTCGGTGATGTCTATGTATGATTCGGTAATATCCATGTATGAATCGGTAACATCCACGTATGATTCGGTAATACCATAAGCATGTATGATATCACAAATTATTTCTGCATGAAATAAATAATTTCTCTATTTCCTCCTGACATTATTTCTTTCACTTACAATTAACAAAAGATTATTTACTACGTGGGAAAATGTTGTTAATGACTATTGTTATTTTCTTAAGTGGTTAGTCATGTGTCTTCAACCAGTAGAGTATGGGGTTTCCTCTCCACTAAATATAATCGTTTAGTGTTAAGTGAATAATTGTTTAAAAGTCGCGTTCCCCCCAAAAAATAAATAATTAATTTTTTCTTCAGGAGTTTATTTCCAAAGTTATATTTTTTTTTCCAGTAAACATAAACATTGGAAATTTATAAATCGTATTTTTTTTCGTTCGAGTTCATTTCTATATATTTTTTTATCTCACTGGATATAAACTTTAGAATTCTATCATATTTTGTTATCAAGAGAGAGGTCATTGTTGGATAATTTACAGGAAAATAATAATAATAAAAATAATAATAATAATAATAATGGTAATAATAATTGTAATAATAATAATGGTAATAATAATAATAATTGTAATAATAATAACAATTACAACAATAATAACAATAACAATAATAATAATAATAATAAAAACAATATTAATAATACTCGTAATAATGTATAAAGTGATTTTGTATTTTCTTATCATTATAAATATTAGAAGAAAATAGTTCCGTCACCTGATAATTAACAATAACATTTTAACTTTCTTTCATCACAAAATTTTTATCTTATTTCTCAAAGCCGTAAAACTAAGTCTTCAGAAAATCATAAAATAACGCGGCAATTATAATTTTCTTCTTCTTTATTTCAGCTCAATGAACGCTATTATTATTATTATTATTTTGTTTATTTTGGTGTACAGTGGATTTTTATTTATTTGTTATTATTATTATTATTTTGAAATTTTATCTGATCACTATTTTTTCATTATAAATTACAAGAAAATTTGTGTTTATTTTTTTTCATTTATAAATTATACGGATTTAAACATATATATATATTTCCTCCTTAGAAAGTCCATACAACTATTTGATTTAATTTCAGATTCGATAAAAAAAGGCGAAGTTAAATTTCTTTGTTTGGTGTTGTGGTTGTTGTTGTTGTGGTGGTGGTGGTTGTGGTGGTTGGTGCGGTTGTTGTTGTGGTTGTTGTTGTGGTTGTTGTCGTTGTTGTGGTTGTTGTTGTGGTTATTGTGGTTGTTGTGGTGGTGACATAATAGATCAACACTGAACGCTTTATCCTGTATTGAGATTCAGTCAACCCGCCTCCGCCCTCGGCCTGTCGGCGCTGGTGACCCGACGGATACTCTATTTATCT